GCGCGGAAGTTTACCAAATTTCGCCATATTGCTCATTAATTGTTAGAGGTGCCAAAAATGCAACATTTGGAAAACTCATTTTCCAAAAAAATGGGCATTTTAGGCTTGTGTCCCCCCTTAAGTTTTTGTTTCCTCTTATTTTGATCACTTTGATCTATTATTACATGAGAGCAGGCTATTGCTATTTCAGATCGGCCTGCGTCCCTCTTCCCAGCATTGGCCTTTGTGAAGGCTTGTCAAAGCCCACTTCAGTGGCTTGGTACCTTGGCAAGACAAGGGAAGGTCGGCAATGGCGGCTGTAATCTGGCACCATTGCCGACCTTCTATATATATACTTTTTTTTAATATATATGTATGTTTTTTATGACGATAGTTGTTAGCGCTCCTTTGGGCAAAATCTGGTGGAATCTACATGCAAAATGTTGTGTGATCGCTGAGCTACCATTCTTTCCCATCGCCTTTGCCCCTCGCGCAACCACGTCATTCATTGCGTCACGCAAGACACATTACACTAACACTACGATCCTTCGGCATATCAACACGGCAGTCACTCAGTTTGCTTGACGCCTGACATGGCCAGACAAGATTCACTCTGTCAGAAGAGCGGGAATGGGAGGTGCATTGCATTCGGACATTAGACAGTTTTAATATAGCATTGCTGGCTCTTACGTGTGCAATAAGCAAGAGTATAGCGTACACTAAAAACTACCTGCTCGAATCGATTTTAGCTGTGTGTTCTGTAAATGTTTCCAAGTGAGCATCTCGCATGATCTTGATTTACTTTGCCAGAGGCATAGAATTCCACATGCTTACAGTGCCACCATGCTCCTCAAAATGAATATTAAAAGTCAAAATGTTTCAAATCATTTTATTTCAAATTAAGCCAAGTCGCAGTTACCTAGTCAAGCGCGCTTCTCTGCAGGATATGCGGAGGCCACGAGTACAGGTGTTTCGCCAAATTCGGTCGCGGAGCCTGCATCCATCGTTCCGTGGAGACGGCGCCTTTTATCGATGCTGTCGCGGGAAAAGATTCATGACCTACTGATGTCCGGTGCTAGGCAACAGCTTGGTTGATTTTTTGAAGAGTCGTTCGTCTGTCGGCGATGAGCTGTGGCAAGAGGCTTAGCGTTGAGCAGATCGCAGCATCCATGCACATTACAAGCTGTGAACGTTTTCACTACGCACTCCTTCAGCTGCTCAGCGATCTGTCTTGACTGCGGTAGGTCACTGAAAGAATGCCGAGCTGAATACAGTGTAGACCGCATATAACGTATGTCTCGGGAGTCGCGAAAATCCGCACTATAAGCGGTATCGCACTATAACCAAAACATCAATTTTTCAGGCCAAAATACATGCCATGAGACAACTTACCTTTGTAAAAGAATTTATTTTATGTTAGATGAAAAATAAAGCTTAGTTTGAGGAAAGTCTTTATTTCACCAGACTAGTACAGTTCTGTCTCAAGTGTGTCACACATTTTGAAAGAAATGAGCGGCTTTTGCCTGGCGCAGCATTTTAACGGCGTCGCGGGTTGCGGACGGACGTTGCGAGCGTTCAGGATTGCTAACCCTAATCACTTTTCTCCGAAGATGAAAATGCGTGAAAATTCGCATCCTTCATACGGTACGCGCCAGTAATACCTTGAACTTGAGCACACGCATGAAATGCACCAAATAAGAAATCCGGGCGATGTTTGAGGACACAAATGCTTAGAAATCACCACTTCACCACTGTAGTCGAAGTAAACAAACACGACGACACGGGCGTTTCTGCCGTCTTGAGAGCGCCGCCACGACATCGCCGCCACGGCATCGCCGCACGAGTAGGTGGATCTTCCCTTCTAGTACGTGCTGGGTTATCATAGCGACACACAACGAAAATTCACAGTCAAGGATAGCGCTTTTACGCAGAACGATGAGATGCACGCCATCTACGACGACGATCACAACCAATGCCATGTTTGCGGAATAGAAGCAGTCGGCCTGCGACCGGCATGCAACGCGCGCGAACACTTCTCCTCGACCTGCGATTGGTCTGTCGTTGCGGTTGTTTGTTTCTTTGTTTCCAACGCAGCGGAGGGACGCACGCACGTGAACGACTCGTGCAAGCGTCCCTCCGTCGCTATGGCAACTGAAGCCTCTCTCTTCGCTTCTCCCCGCGTTTTCGAGCAACCTCCTTGCCCCGCGAGTGCAGCATAAGTGCAGCTTGCGGCTCGCGCCGTCAGCGCCGTTATCTAGTGTCGCACAGGGAAGCGAGCTCGCTGCTCCGGTCGTCGGCGCGGTCGGCGGGCCATGCCAAAAGCCGCACTATAACCGGTATTTCCCTTTGCGCGCCTGCATTTTAAGCGGTATGTAATTACATGGAGTTCTATGGGAGGTGAACCGGTGGTTTAAAAAAACCGCGTTATATTCGGCCCTGCACTATAAGCGGTTACGTTGTAAGTGGTCTATACTGTACCACGTAATTTCACGTAACACTGAACTTCGCAAACACTATGTTGCCCATGCTGCGCCAGTCGAGGTAACCGCCATCTTGAAACTGGCGCTCTCGCTGGGCCCGAGATCTTTCGAGAACTTCCCGCAGAGCCCGCTAGCTTGCAGCGCAAAATTTTCAGTGTTGTGTGCGTACACAATATGCTAGCCCTTTTATTGTGTTCTGCGCAAGCGCACTCCGACCCACAATTTTTTTTGCATACGCAAAGCTTTAGCGTATGCGTATGTTTCAACAATGTAACAGCTACCGCTGTAAACTGGAGCACACTTTGTGCGGTCTTTTAACACAGAATGTGTTTTATCAGCCGGTTTTCACAAGGTTCTTTAACAGCTGGCTGTAACTGAAAACCAACACTGAAAAGCGTTATGCCCATAAGAAGCCATATAAAAAGATTTCAGTTTTCAGCAGGATTTAAACTCACCACCTCGAGATTGTGAGCCAAGTGATTTGCCGACTGAGCTATCTAGGGTCGGTGGTCGGTAGCCCACAAAAGCAAACTCATTGGCGCGGCACACGAGGGTGCCCTTTCTTGTCATGCTGCACTATCTTGCGGCGCGTGTCAGAAACAGGGGCAAATCTTGACACCCTTCTCTTCTTCTCTGGAAGGCCTATCACACGTTCTGAGCTTACCAGTCTGTGTCAACATGATCAAGCTTGTATAATCTTTTTTTTTTTCTATCTGCAGCATTACTTTAGGTTTGTATGTAAAAAGTTGGCAGTGATGCGATTGCTGCGCCTATTGCGCCAAACTGCGCCAAGCGGCTAACCCTGCTACATCCTGCTACATTTTGCCGAAATATGGGTAATCTGCGCCAAGCGTGCGCAAAAACCACAATTTCGGTTGCCTTTCAAAACCTAAACTAAACTGAGTGGCGTAATTGAGCATGCCTGTGTTATGTTCTTGCATGGTTTTCTTGCCGTCTCATGTTTTGCGCTCTCGTCGTCTCGTGGATCTTGTCTCGCGTCTTTTTTTTTTTTATATATATATTTTTAACAGTAGACGTGGGCGTGTCCGGATGCTCCGACGCTAGCATGCCGGGTACTAGCGATGCCATCATGCTGTGAAACGAAACCGCGTTTTTGCACGGCGGGAGTTTCTTTGTGAGCTGAAGCACTCGCTCCTGAAAGCAACGGCCATGGGAAACTATATTTGGTCCCTGTCTTCCAGAGACCGTGGTCACGCGACGTTGGGTTTTGCCGTCCCCACGTTGCTGTAGATATGGCGCTTTTTAAAATTAAAATAAGTACCGCCGCATGTCCATCAACATTCCTGTTCTTGTTTAAGTCGTATGTTACTATAAAAATCTTTCTTTAACACAAAGACTGCAGTGACGAAGTATTGATTACACAGGTTTCTCTTGGTGGGCTTTCTTTCGAGAGGAACCCCGGTACGTGAAAAATCTGCCGCGAAAGCTGGTGAAGAGAAGTGAGCTAAAACAAAGAAGGCAATGTATATACATTGTCTTCTTTCTTGACCTGAACCCACACAGCACGCTTGTTTGTCTAGAGTTCAGTCGTTGCACAAAGCGCTCCAAGAACTTTTTGACCCTGGCTCGCAATGTCTTGCATCGATGCGCTCAGGTACTTTTTTTTTTGTACCTTGTTTGCCGGCCTAGCAACCACGCGCTGCTGGACGTTTTTGTCGTATGCTCGACAGTTACATTTTGCATACAATTTTGGGAATCAGTTGGCGACGGAGCGGAATGGCACGGTTTCGGTTTCGATCGAACAGCCGTTGTCTCCGCTCGCGCGACGAAGCACGTGCAACTGCAAGCCTGCCGAAGTTGCCCACACGTGCATGCGAACATCATTGCACAGCAGAGGCACCAGCCTGACGCTTGCAATTCATTGTATCACGTTTGCTTACTTTTGACGAAAATCTGGCACGTTGGGAACCAGTAAGACGGTGTCAAGTGGTTTTTTGGAATTGCTAGGCAATGCCTATAGTAATGCACTGTACACTTGTGAAATGTCTCAGCAGTAGAACCACAAGCAGCGAGTTCCGTCGCAACAAGTCATGTCAAAGCACAACACAATGCGAATAGCCCTTCGTTTGTACAGCACTTATAACAAAATGTTTTCTTTTTTTAATAATATCTCCTCCAAAAGCCACTTTTGCTGCACCGAAACACTCTTTTGGCTGCTCCAAAAGGTGCTCCAAAATGGCTTAGGCCAATCACATCACTGAGTTGGCTACTGTTACATTGAAAGTACAGTACCCATGAAGCATGCAAGGAACAATTGTTTGTTATATCCTATATTTTTCTGTTTCCATTTCTGTCAGAGGTGAGGTCCAGTGTATTTTTTGAAAGAATGCATTTCTCTGGCTGCTGGTGAAACAAATTTGTTGCACTTATGAGATGTTCGGGAATTGGTGGCCCACCTAAACCTAACTGTCGGGCACTGAGCGAAAGAGAAGCCAATTTTGGGTGCAAGGGCTGATTGATGGCACTGTCCTGGAACTAAATCAGCAGAATGACTGCCCTGTCTTTTTCTACCTGGTGCAGACTTGGAGCTGTTGGCAGCCTGCCGTGAGGAGTTTCATAGACGCCTCAAGGTCTACCATGCCTGGAAGAGCAAGAATGCCAAGAAGGGATCTGGAGACACCTCACAGAACCGTGTTCCCACAACACTTCAGAATGGAGGCAAGTCTTTTATGTTGATCTAGGCTACATTGACAAATTTGGTGTGATCTGCATCTTCCTTTCTGACTGTAGACATCATTATTTCATAATTTCTTGCAGCTGGTGGAATGATAGAGTGCATTCTCAGTGTAGATGCCAGGAAAGATTTGGAGGGACATAGGTGCTGATATTGTTTAGATGTTAATGGGAGTGTTAAAAATATGGACAACGGGCCTTTTATATTTTGCATCTATATTGCCTAAGCTTGCAAAGTGTTTCATTGAATGAGTAATAGTAAAGCAGTATTTAGACTAGACTAAACCTTTTCTAGGGTTGCCTCTGCATACATGTGCAATAGTAGGAAGCAGGGGCACGTTATTTGTATTGATACGCTATGCGGTATTGTTGGCACAGCCAATTACGTGACACCTGGTTAGCTGTGTTTGGAACTGCGGTGCTGCTTTACTGTCGGCCGCAGCTAGAGCAGCCGCAGCAGTCGCTTCAGGTTCAAGACTGTGGTTAGTTTTGGGTAATGTCCATCCTCGCATAAAAGAAAATCGTCCAAGCCCTGGCATTGAAACTTGTTCTTGCACAAAGTTACATTTCATGCCGTCGAATCGTCATTTCCGAGGCACTCACGTCCTTTGCAAAAACTGTTGTTGAGTCAAAGACACGACACTGTGCGACTCTGTCCTCCGTTTGCAGGGGCCCTGCCAGGAGGTCAAGGGGACGCGGTGGATGGGGAGGATGGCCGACAGCGCTACTTCCGCATCCCGTTCCGCAAGGACGGCTCGAGCAGCGGCCTGTGGTTCGCCCACTTTGACGGACAGTACATTGCTCGCCAGATGGAGCTGCATCCGGGCAGGCCCCCCGTGCTGCTGCTCGCGGGTGAGCCCCTCGCTCTGGCATTTGTCACGAGAGTTATCGGTGTCCTCAGGCCTTCTCTAGAGCTTCCCCGTGCACAAACGCTTTATTCCAATGTTAGATCTAAAGTACCGTATTTACACGATTGTACATCGAGATATTTCTTAATTTTTAAAAGTCCAAACAGGGTGGTTGACTTATAATTGGAATCAAAGGATTCTACCGCCAACAAAGCCAAAACAGCCGCACCTCTGTTCATCTACGGATTCGGCCGGCATTGCGCCATTCTTTGCACTCAATTTACAATTAGCTCTTTTTTTTTTGCACGAATGAGTATTACGATTACGGTGATTGTGATCTGCAAATCAGCACGAATATGTGGCAACAAACGGCGCTCAATACACTGCGCTGCGCGAGCATCACGCTGAGCACCAAGCTTTGGGTTTGGCGGCACTCAATGTAAGAGCCACGCAGGAAATGCCGCAACGGCCGCTGGAACAGCCTCACTGCCTCACTCCCCACTGCTTGTCTTTGCACAATGCACGGTTGCGTGTTGTTTGATCGAGTGTCGAAATCGTGCGACTTTGCCGGACAGCCAACTACGTTTTTGGGTATTAACACAAGTGGTCCGAGCAGTTTAGATTTTCGGTGCTTGTTTACGGCCGTTCATCCGAAAAGAAACCAACAGCTGCACTGCTGGATCCAAGTTCAATCTGTCGGAGCTGGGGGTACACCAGTGGCGACTGCAACTTCGCGGGATCTTTTAACTGCGACGGTAAACGATGAGGTTTCTGCGTTTTTATGAAAAACTCAAGACTGAGGTATTGACAGACGAAGACAAGGAAAAGAAGGAGCACGTCTCTGTTGAGACGTGCTCCTTCTCTTCCTTGTCGTCGTCTGTCAATACCTCAGTCTCGGATTTTCCACAAAAATGTTTGATATACACCAGCTCATTGCGCCCTTACGTTCTGTTCAAGGTTTCTGCAGGCCAAAGTTTGGATAGACCCGGATACTCTCCAGAGTTAGAGGCCAAGCTTGCTACGTACGTCGCAGAAATGCGCAATCGGTCCCCACCCGTGACGCGTGACGCGATAACCGAGCGAGTGGGGGAGATGCGTTTGGTGAGGTTGTTTGCGAAGTGCGAGATTTCGTTGGACGGCGCCAACGACGTGGTTTGGGAACGTAGCAGTGATGACGACGGGAATGACGGCACCGTTGCGGACAAATCATAGTGTATAGTGGCAGACAGAGGGAGAATGACAGGGAGAACGACGCGAGATGCCTCGCGACATGCGCGAGGCATCTCGCATGCCTCGCGCATGTGTGTGCGGCCAAAGCACGCCAGTAGGCATCAGCGCACGTTAGAGGCCGGGCGTTCAAAAGACAAAAACTGCTGTTCTCTCCTTGTCAGTAACTATAACATAAATGTTCTCCATGAAATGCGCCCCAAAGTACAATTTTTTTTCCCCGTTTTTTTTTTTTTTTTACTTTTTTTTTTGTGCGTGTGTGTGTGTGTGTGGAAGGGGGGGGGAGGGACCTACTTACGAATTAGTTGTCTCTTATAATCATGTAAATACGATAGCATATTTTTGGGTTGCATGATTTTTGCGAAACACAGAAAAGAGGGTAAGGGTAAAAACTAGGTTTTATTTTTTAACTGGTATAGGGAGGACGATTGAGGTAGTTTGGTGCTAGTCTTGAAATTCATGAGTGTTTAGGGTTTTTTTGGTTTTTTTAAGTGGATCGATTGATTGAAAGAATTTATTTTGTGGGTTTTCTGCTTTTGGTCACGTCCTCCCAAGGGTTTTCTGCTTTTGATCACGTCCTCCCAAGGCAGTCGCATACCTGCCAACTCTCCCGAATTGTCTGTGAGCCTCCCGAATTTTGAATACATCTCCCGAGATTACGGACGCGACCTCAAATCTCCCAGAAAATGGCCGCCGTACCTTTTTCTTTTTTTATGACGCCCTATTGCTATAATTGTCACGCATGTGTCAGTGAGAGTTACTCGAGAGTAGGTTTAGGTTACTCCGGTGGGTTATCACGTGACAACTCGGAGCAGCAGCGTAAAACGGGGGTAGATTTTCAAACGCCAAGGTATGAAACCTCTACTCCTTAGTAAGTACGAGCTTTGTGTTTCCCCTTGTTGAGTTGGAAGGATCGATGGCGCTTTCAAACGCCAAGAAGTACTTGCAAGTATTTCTGAGACCATATGCCATGGCGGCAAGCCTGACATCAAGATACACATCGCTTCATGAAAGCATCAGACCCATGTTCGTGCCATAGAAGTCAGGGCACCATCGACAGTTTACTTCAAAACAACTGCGAAGACGGTGCAATCTGCGCAGAGTGCCTCTTCACGGGGTTTGTTGTCAAACTAAAAAAAGTAAAACGTTTAAAACCCCCCCTTCCCCTTGGCGGTATCCCAAATTTTCATGTTGCTAGGTTGGCAGGTATGCAGTTGAGAACATTTAGCTGTGCCTAACTGCCTCCGGAGACTGAATCATAAATTAGCATTCCACATCTTAATATGGTTTTTGCTGATTGTGTAGAGTGGAATTAGGTGGCCTTAGTTGCGATCAAATAGTTGTACTAGTACTCGTTCTTAACATCTTGAAATGTTTTTTTTTAGAAATTAACACAAATTCAGCCTAACCGTAAGGTACCGACAACGTTACTAGAACCACTCAGTTGGGAAACTGCCACAGAGCCTGCTTTAAAAAAGTGGCTCTGATATTTACTCCAGAATTGAGCTAATGGCGATCGCAACGCCGCCATTTCTCCCGTAGCGTCCACTCCGGGAACTGCATGGCTCACGTATTGGTTCAGGTCGAGTCGGGCAAGGGCCGGTGGCGCCATCCCGCAGGGCCATCACGCAGTAGCTATGTAAAGCAACTTTCATGTTTCAACTCGTCGCTAAAGGGTGGCGCTGTTATCGTATTTAGCTCGGTCTCGGTGGATGCCAGCGGCCCGGGTTTCGAGGGTGTGTTTCCCAACTGAGCGTTTTAGTACCGTTAGGTACCGAGCATCCGCCCATTCCACAATAAGTGCCCATGCCTCAATTTTATGATATTTAGAAAATACACAAAAAACATATCTTTACATATCGTTGACCTAGCAAGGGCCCATCTTCCCAGTTTTACACAATTACCTTCAAGCCTTGAGTGGGCTTTTGTTCGGAATTTTACAGCAGGTATAATAAACGTTGGGCATGATTGTAAATCATGCAAATCAAAGACCGACGAGAATGTTCCAAACAAAAAGGTTTCCTAACACGCCGTGTGATGTTTGCAGGGAGGGACGACATGCAAATGTGCGAGCTCAAGCTGGAAGAGACGGGTTTGGCCCGCAAGCGTGGGGCCGAGATCTTGGACCACGAGTTCGACGCGGAGTGGACCAAGCACGGGGGTCCCGCCTACGTGCCGCTTTCGACGCGGCACAAGTAGGGGCCGCAATGCCGCCGCGGAGTTGCGACGTGAAGCAGTGAGGTGCCATGGCTGAACAGCTACGGGAGGGAGCTCAGACCGGGCTGGAGGCAACTAACAGTCATGGGTCAAGACACAAAACAAGATAGATGACTAGTTGACCGTAGATCAAAAAAATAATTATTTATATAGTCAAAAAGTTATTTTTTTTTCTTGTGATCTCAAGTATTTTGGCATACTTGAACTTGCTCTTTTTTCTCGTTTTACGCGGGACTATTGCTACCGTTATAGGAATCTTACTCGTGTTTTTGCGAGTTTAACTTAATGAAGACAGTGAGCTTCGCCTTTTCTATGGGATTTTTTTTTTTTTCTTTTTGTCCTCCGTCGAGTGTTCCTTTTTGGGGTTCAAAGGCTCTCAAGAGGCAACTGTTTCTTGGTCTTTCGTTACTTTTGGTGCTTGGTTGTGGTGGCAGTATAGTGCCTTAACCTTACTACTTTTCTCATTTATATATACATATATATTTGTTACCGGTTTTTCTATAGTATTAAATGTGCCAGCACTTTTTATGTACTGTTTTGCATCACCATACCAGTGTTAACATCTTTTTGACAGAGCAACCTTTTGTCAAGATGAATTATTGCACTGAGTGCATCGTAATCCATGTATTTGACGTAGTTTTGAAGTAAAGGGTTGCGAGCTACGTGCATTCTGCTTAATAAAGACCTGCAGGAATCATGTGGCCTCTTTTCTTTATTAGAAATGTAATGGAGCTGCATATTGGAACATGCAAGACTGGGAAAGGCACTCTAAAGGCTCTATCACACGCTCGTGACTGCTTATGACTGAGTGCATTACGTTCTCTGTCACCGCTTGTGACTAGCAAACACGCTGGCTCCATCTAACGGGCAGCCGTGGAACACTCGCAAGTTTACAGCGAAACAGTTTATGGCTAGTGTTTATGGCGTGTGCAGCGACTAAAAACTCTACGCTCACACCGCCGCACGTGCATGCCTTCCCGTATAAAAGAAAGTAAATAACCAAAATAAAGCGCTGACGAACGCACGTGCAAGATACCGTATGTTTTAGGCTTTTGCCTTAGAACAGTTACTGCTGCAGATGCTGGCGCATGAAACACCATTCCCTGCGTTCTCCTTGATGCTTGGGTAATTTAGCAATATAGGTCTATTCAGTAGATTAGTTATCAATAGACACCATTTTCAAGGTCAATAGACTCTCGGGTAGATAAAGGATTCTCAAAGATTGGCCGCTGTGCGACCCGTGTCTGCCGGGCGGCGGAGAAAAGCTCACCAGAGAAAAGCTCGCCGGAGATAAGCTCACCGCAAAACCGGCAGATGCGGAGAAAAGCTCACCGGCCTTTGAGCGGTTGCGGAGAAAAGCTCACCGATATTTTTTAGCTTAGCTTGATTCTGCGTCAGACGCGGCAATTTAACACAATTCGCATTCGTCACTTCATTAAAAATGTCATCTTTTTTGTAATATTCTTGAAGTTCATTGGGCATATTTACCAATTCCTCAGGAATTAGTAATCACCCATTCTATAAATTAATGAAGCCGCAAGTATAAAATCAAAACATCATACACCTATAAAAAAAAGGCAATTTATTGACAGCTGACAGCGCGCCGTCGCTAACTCTCGGATAAAGAGGTTTGTTCTGTGAACCGGTTCAGCTCCAAATATTGTGTAGTGCCTAATAGATAAGAAGGTGTTTGTTGATGTCACCAGTGTCGGCTACGCTGTTTTCTTTCTGATTTCACTAAGAAAACTTTAGTTGCGAGAACACCTTCGCTTGTACGTTTGTTTTCTTCACACCGTCGTCGTCGTTTGAGCGGTTTTCATCATGTATAACGTTTACCAATTCGCCCTATTCGCTGCATAACAGAAGACTACTTATTCTATAGGTTACGAGTAACAACGGTGGCCATTGCGCAGCTCCGAAGGTCATGGGTGGCTTACCGTAGAAGGGCACTCAGTATCACACAAGGGGAACGTGTGAAAACACCAGCACGAACGGCTAGAAAGCGTGCATGTCCGTGGAAGAAAGATGCCTCGATATCCTATTGAATGTTTTATCCTGTTTTCAAAGGTTAACAAAAGCTTCAAAGAGAATTTCAACCACCGCGTTGTTGCGCATGCACTTTTGAATTTTCGGTAGTTACAGCTTTGATTTTTTAGGTTTTAGGCGGACATCATTAAATTTTTAAAATTTTTCCTGTTCTTCAAGTTTATAAAGTTTTTAGTTAGGCTTTCGTTGCCTGGAGAGTAAGTCACAGAAAACACTCGCCCGCAATTATTAATTTGGGAGCAATATACCCATTAAAGGAATCATGAAACGTTTTTTCAACTTTTTCCTGTTTTAGCTTTCCTCCTCAACTCAAAAATCGCCCATTCCACCAAACAGTTAAAGAAGACGAAAAGAAGGGAGGCCCCTCTCGCTCGGAATCTGGTTTGAGTAGCCGGACAGAGCCATTGTCCCACTAGAAGATTAGCCCGTCGTTCAAAATTCAGACAAAAGTTGCTTTCCCCACCCCGTTCATCCCGAAGCTGACAGTGCTGTTGAAGCTACGTGCTCGTTGGGCCAGCCACACTTGTCACGTGAGCGTGGCAAATGTGGCTGCAGAGAATGAAGTCAGGTGATGAAAGGGAGGCGGCTGATTGGTCCGGCAAGCGCGTAGCTTCCACCGCAATGTCAGCTGAGGGGTGAAGGGAATAAGTGAGGTCCGGTTGCGTGTGACGTCAGTTTGGACCCGATGACGAGCTTTTGGGACCGCGGATGTATCACAGTGAAAAGGCAGAGAGGTTGCGAAGGGGAGGAGGTACGAAATAGTCCGCTCTGTTTTCAAATTTTCGCACTGAAAGTCGGGCTTTTGACTTTCTACCTTTTTTCTTTTGGTCCACTGAACGATGTGCTATTAGTAAAATCCCAATCTAAAATGATTTATCCCAACCCAAAAATCGTTTTATGGGCCCTTTAAGCTTAACAAATATTACAAAAAGGACAGTTTCTTTTTTGCAAAGCTGACGAATTTTAATGATTATCAATTGATATATGTTACGCATTATCCAACAGCCTCCATATAAAAAGAAGCTTTTCTCCGCATACGCTCAATGGCCGGTGAGCTTTTCTCCGCATCCGCCGGTTTTGCGGCGAACTTTTCTCCGGTGAGCTTTTCTCTGGGATTCGTGTCTGCCATGTCAATGCTCGCACTGCCCTCTCTTTGTCGTCGTTCCAAGCACCTGCGTGCCTAGCTTCCTTCAACTCTTCCGGGGTGGCGCATGTCTACTTTCCTCTGGCTCCTTGGGGCGGGTCTGTGTCGTGTAAAGTTGACTCTGACGACCAGCAAAGCCTTCACGGCTTTGCTGGTCGTCCACCTTCACTGAGTGGAATGAGTCAATATTTTTAGAGCGCAGCTCTTAGGGGCCCGTTTCCGGCGTGAGCGGCGTCGGCGTAACCGCGCGGTACATTATGGGTAAATTTCCCCGCTAAATCTAGCGGAAAAATTTCCCCGCTAGATTTAGCGGAAAAATTTCTCCGCTAAATCTAGCGTAAAAATTTTCCCCGCTAGATTTAGCGGAAAAAATTCCCCGCTAAATCTAGCGTAAAAATTTCCCCGCTAAATCTAGCGGAAAAATTTCTCCGCTAATTCTAGCGGAAAAATCTAGCGGGAAAAATTCCCCGCTAAATCTAGCGGAAAAATTTTCCCGCTAAATCTAGCGGAAAATATTCCCCGCTAGATTTAGCGGAAAAATTTCCCCGCTTAATCTAGCGGAAAAATTTTTCCCGCTAGATTTAGCGGAAAAAATTCCCCGCTAAATCTAGCGGAAAAGTTTCCCCGCTAAATCTAGCGGAGAACTTTCCCCGCTAAATCTAGCGGAAAAATTTCCCCGCTAAATCTAGCGGAAAAACTTTCCCCGCTAAATCTAGCGGAAAAATTTCCCCGCTAGACACCGGAAAAATTTCCCTGCTAAATCTAGCGGAAACACTTTCCCCGCTAGATTTAGCGGAAAAAATTCCCCGCTAAATCTAGCTGGAAAAATTTCCCGCTAAATGTAGCGGAAAAATTTCCCCGCTAAATCTAGCGGAAAAATTTCTCCGCTAAATCTAGCGGAAAAATTTAGCGGGAAAAATTCCCCGCTAAATCTAGCGGAAAATATTCCCCGCTGTCTAGCGGAAACATTTCCCCGCTAAATCTAGCGGAAAAATTTCCCCGCTAGATTTAGCGGAAAAATTTTCCCGCTACATTTAGCGGAAAAAAATTCTCCGCTAAATGTAGCGGGAAAATTTCCCCGCTAAATCTGGCGGAAAAATTTCCCCGCTAAATCTAGCGGGAAAAATTCCCGGCTAAATGTAGCGTGAAAATTTCCCCGCTAAATCTAGCGGAGAAATTTCCCCGCTAAATCTAGCGGAAAAATTAACCCGCTAAATCTAGCGGAAAAATTTCCCCGCTAGATTTAGCAGAAAAAATTCCCCGCTGTAGCGAAAAAATTTTCCCGTTAAACCTAGCGGAAAAATTTCCCCGCCAAATCTAGCGCAAAAAATAGCGGAAAAATTTTTCTGGGGGGTCCCGTGACCCCCCAAGGTCACATGACTCCCCCCCCCCCCCCCCGCCCAGAGAACAGGTAACCCTCAGTACCCTTCCCTCCTCCTCCTCAAGAGCTGCGCTCCAATTCGGTGTTACAGGGAGTTGTAAATGGCTTTCATTTTTTGTATATTTTTTTTTGGCATATTTTTTTTATTGCTCTGAGAAACTTGGCAATATATTATTCCCAGGGGCAGAAACTGATAAACAAATTTCAGTGACTGTTACCGTTTCTTCAAATCAATTTAATTGTTTTCCTTTTTTTTAGGGTTTTAGTTTTTACATTTTGGTTACCAATTAGTTAGCCCTATAAACTGTTCTAATTTTGTATTTTGGTTTGATGGGGGTGTGGGCAAGAAGCTCGCCGTCGCCCATAAACACCATTGAAATGCAATGTCGGCGTCGGTATGAGTCCTGCCCTTTTTCGCGTTCGAATTGTTGATTCTACGTCTTCCTGGCAATGCCTGACTACTTGAATGGCCTCAGCAAAATTAACGAGGCTTGTTACACCGCAAAACTTCGCATGAATAATGTGACATGCGGCGATTCATTCCACGTGGACGCCGCAGAATGTACGCTAAAGCCTGATCCGCATAATGAGATTTCGCTCGCGATTTTCAGTCACACTAGGGAGTTGTAGTAGATCGTTTTCCTCCACCGCTACGGTATCCCCGAAGAAAACGCCGCAGCTGCGCTTGCGCGCCGTCAGCCTTCTCTGCATAGTTCAAGGTCTTGTGGCGGATTACGGAGCGCTATCCGGGTGCTTAGCGGGCTGCGGAAACGGTCTACTACAATTCCCTAATGTCGCTTGGGCTGCGAAAGCGTGAACCGTAGTTGGATGGTCGACGTCGATACTGAAAATCTCAAGCAGAATCGGACCACGTGAATCAGGCATAACAAGTCAGTAATGATTATCCACATATCCTTGTATCTACTGTTTACATCGAGCCTGCTTACCAACTTTCAAACTTAAGCCTTTTGAGGCCTGCGCCTACTTCTTACCGCAAGTACCGGGCCCACGTTTGGTCTACGGGCCGGTGTCGTCTAAAAGAGCAGTTGACAAGCAGAAACGTTTGAAAGAGCAGACGACAGTTTGAACGATTAGGCGGCCGTTTGAACTTGAAGACGCACTGAAC